GAGAGAGAGAGAGAGGTAAAGAGGGAGAAAAGGAAAAAGCAAGCAAGCAACCAAACCACCAACCAACCAACCCAGATTGAAGCGGATTAAAGAGGTTTAACAACAAAATATAAATGACATCTCTGATGAGATCCTGGACCAGACAAATAATACTATTGACAAAATTTTTAAAAGGTTTTAAGATGAGATGTAAAAAAACTATTTTCACTTTTAAGCCTTGGTTAATGCTTCTAATTTTGTAGTGGTGGTTAATGTGGAATACTTACATAGTTTCTTCATCAATGTCATTTTCTTCTGTGTTACTTGTTGCTGTGGAACTAGCAGAAGAACTGCTGCCATCAAGATGATTTACTTCATCTTCACCAACAAGATCCAGATCCAAATCTCCATCTGAAAGCTCATGCTAGATTAAGGCAAAAACAAGATTTCTATTCCAAATGTTTCCACTCAGTTGGGTCATCCAAGCTAGGCCATGATGCAAGCATCAATGAATACCACTTAGAGAAAAGTCACACAACCACACTGACTGATGTCACTATAAACATGTGATAGTCAATTTCAACTGAGCTCTCAGTGCAACTGGAAATGCTTTACATATTCTACATCAGATTCTAGTAAGGTTCCTCAAATAGTACTACCTCAAACTATTTTTCAAGACCCACCTAACCTTTATGCTGCTCAAGGTAATTAAATAAATGCAAGTCTCTCATCTCAAAAATAACAAGTACAAAACAACCTTGTCTTTATATATGTGTATTAACTAATAATCACAAACTTTTCTTTTAGGAGGAGTGAGCATTCATAGAGACTGAACCCAAGACCTCTGTAGGAACTATATTCATAGCCTTTTTTTGCTTTGAACCTGGGTCTTGCTAAATTGGTAAACTGCTAAACTGCCCAGGCCAGGCTCAAACTTGTGACCCTCCTGCCTCAACTCTGCAGAGTGCTGGGACTGTAAGCATGTACCATCACACCCACCTACAAATACTTCTTGAATTATTATTCTGGTTATTGATTAGCTAGGACAAAATTCATCTCCCAATTCTCAAATCATTCTATCTGCAAATGCAGCAATAAAGTATCTTGGGGAATAAAAATGTAGTATTTTTTAAAAATCCACAATTACATTAGTTTAAGAATGTACATCACAATTTGCTGCACAGATTGCATAGTTTTCTGTAATACACTAAATTTTCAAACTCTGAAATGTTTTGACTCAACAACTTATGGCTCATAAACATTAACAATTATAGAAGACCATCAATAATGAAATTCAGTGGACAATATTGTAAATATACTGTTTCCCCTACATGTTGGAAAGCATGACACTACCATTTCTATCATTCCTGTTATCAATCTAAAACTGGCTGAATTATTACATGATACTCTTCATTCTGAATCTTCTCTTCATCTTCTTCATCTTCCTTGGTCTCTCTTATAGAAGCTGTAGCAGGCCCACTTTCAAGAAGCATGTCAGAGCATGACCCAGACTTCTTAGCTCGTGTCTCAGGTGTGTCATCAGTTTGGGGACTAAGATGATTATCTGGTGGTGACAAGTCCCTTGATTTCTGAGTTCGAGACAGCTCAATGGTAAGTCTCTTTCAAAGTAAGAACAGAAAAATTAACATTAATAATAAAAAGTACCTCACTGACACAGTAAGGGGAAAAAAGAGGCATTCTTAAAACTAGTTCTTGAACTTTGTGCCTTACTCTTTCCCGCCCTTTGTTTATAAAAATATTCCATGACAAAGATTAACTTCCCCATTTATTCTCATCCTTGCATATCTAGCACAAGCTATATATACAGCTAGCAAACTAATACAGACAGCTTTTTGGTTTTTGCACAGGTGAATATCAAAGTCAGAGTCCTATGAATACTAGGCAACTACTCTACCACTGACCCACACCATCAGCAGTTTTAAGTAGTACACATAACATGAAAATCTCCAAATATATATACTTATTCGGATTTTCTTTGCTTTTCTATTAACCACTTTCACCACTCAACCTTCTACCTCATCCCAAGTTCCACTAGAGAAAATGAAAAATTCCTCACTGTTTTTTGGTACCAGGAATCAAACTCACAACCTCACGCTTGCCAGGTAAGCGCTGTGCTGAGCTATATCCCCAGCCCCACTTCCTCACTAGTGTAAAATAGAAATTCATTAACAGATCTTCTCTAGTGATCAATCAACAACACTGAGAATTTAAGATGGAAAAATGTCAAGTATTCCATAGTGTTGAAATCTTTAAATCCAAGACAGCTTGTAAAATAGAATTTAGTCACTGAGAGAAAAAGAGTTTACCTCAAACTAGAGCAGCACTATGCAATACCACTTTATGAGATAAATGAAAATGTTCTGCATCAGCAATGCCAATATAAGCACTAATTTGTATACAAACACCTAAGAAACAGTATCTTTACTTTTAATTAAAGTGATACAGCCAAGTATGGAGATGGCTATCAAACTGCAGAGTATACAACACAGACACAAAAGGATAGAGGACAGCATAACTGGATTTTGTCTACAAAATTACAAACAAGAATGAATATGAAAAATCTAAAACCAAATGTAGCAAGTGAAAAGGTAAACAGAAATAGTACTACTTCCTTACCTCTTTAAGATTGTTTATTTGTTGGATATAACTAGTCTGTGCAGCTTCCAACTGTGTGATATACCAATGCTGGTCCCGGCACTTTTGAAAAAAAGTTGGTGAACGTACCTGAAACCTTAAAAGAATAGTTCCCCATAAAAAACAATCCAAGAACAAAACATTATCAATCTGGCTTTGAGTCTGCAACTGTAAATTCTACAATATTACCTATGTATTTTAGTTTAGTTTGGTTAATTATAAGGTAAAAATTAAAATGAACTCAGCTTCTAACATGCACATATAGTCCACAATTCATAATAACTGACTAGTTTTTTCTGAATAGTTGTCCAAACATAAACTATAGTTTTCTAGAAATAACTTCTGTAATGGGATTAAGTTTCTAGGCTTACCAACTAATGTATATTGGTTTTAATAATGTAGTTCGATACAATACAATGATGATCATGAGTTGAGGACTACACTGTGCAGAAAGAAATAGGAATATTATATTTTCCTATCCCGTTGCTTAAAGTCAGGCCCTACCAAAATAATGCAAAGTTTATTTTAAGTACTGTCCTTTTACTTCCCTACTCCATCTCTATATTATGTTCCCTATTCCTTATCTCTCAGGAAAGCTCACTGAGTCAAAATGCAGGACTGTTTTACAGTTAAGCCAAAGCTCTAAATAAATGATATCCTCAACCTGTCCAGGTAGCTTATAATCAAACTGCCCACATCACAATATAGCATAAGTCAGCTATGGTTAGGGAAAAAATCATTATCTATATTAAATTATATTAATGGACAAGTAATGTCTTAATGTATTTATATTGTTTTTTAAAAGCTAGTATTTATTAAAGCAAACAAACCTCCAAACATGACTCCACTGACAGAAAAACTGCAGTATATGTGTAGTGATGTTTTGAAAAAAGAGAAAGCCACGAGAGTACATAATTTGGAAATCTCCGTCTCATCCCCACCCCCAACCCTTCTACTCTGACCTTCTTAGGTTAGCTACTGCTATAGTTTTGAACTTAAATGTCCCTGAAAGGCCTAGATGTTGAAGGCTTGTTCCTAGGGTGGTGCTACTGGGAGATGCTTCCATCACTGGGGGTATCCCCTTAAAGGGGATAATGGGATCCTAGCTCCTTCTCCTTCCTTTCTCTCACAAACTAGCCATGAAGTGACCAGTTCTTTATTTTATTTTTTTGAGTCAGGGTCTTGCTTTGTAGTTGAGACTGGCTTTGAACTCACTTATGCAGCCCAGGCTAGCACTGACCTCAAGGTGATCTTCCTGTCTCAGCCTCCTGAGTACTGGAATTACAGGTCTGTGCCACAATGCCCGGCTCCATCATGCAGTTCTACCCCTATGTACTGCCTTCCCACAGACCCAAAGCAACAAGGCCAACTGATTGCTGTGAGTACAAAACTATGAGTAAAAATAAAACTTTTCAATTTCTAAATTCATTATCTTAGATATCTGTTACAGGAACAGAAAGCTACACAGCTATCATTCTATTTTTTTAAGGATTTAGACCTCGCGTAAGAACATGCTGATAATCTAATATTTAACAACAGATATCTAATCTCAGTCAAGAATATTCAGTGAGAGAGTAGAAATAAATTCTCCTTTCTTTTTCCATAGACAATAAAATATATATCTATTCAGATATACTTACAAGAAATTCTTAAGTAATTCTCAAATTAAGCACATAAAAATTCCAACAGAAACTTGGACTGAGGTTTAAATTTTGCACAACCATTCATTGAATCAATATTATGAGTAATAGCATAATTAAAAGCTCACTTCCCTCTTTATAAAATCCGTTTACAGGATTATTTTAATCTGCTCCTTTTACCTTGAGTTCCTTAAGGATGAAAATCAAGTTTAATTCTTTTTGTTTGTAGTACTGAGGTTGAACCCAGGACCACGTGCATGTTAGACAAGTGCTCTAATACTGAGCTATATCCCAGCACTTTTTAAAAATTTAAGACATGGTCTTAGTAAACTGCAGTACTCATGCCACAGCCTCCCAAGTAGTTGAGATTAAGGGCATGCATCACCATACCTGGCTTAATTCCTTTTTCAGGTCAGAGTCAGTCACATAGCCCAGACTATAAATAGTGCTGAGTAAAGGATAATTAAACATCACAACAGAAATCCGTCCCTATGCTAAATATACAGTCTGAAATAAAGGTTTTCTTCTAAATAGGGATGGCCTAAATAAAGACCAGCAATCAGACTAAGTTGCATTAAAAAACAAGGAAACTCTCATACAGATTGCCAATACAAAGATCCAACATTGCTTGACTACAGTAAGAAAAAGAATAAGACTATAAAACATGGGGTTTTTGTGGTTATGTTTTGTTTTTTTGAGACCGAATCTTAGTATGTAGTTCAGGCTAGGCACAAACTCACCGCCATACCCAGCTAAAGCACGGACCTTTTATAAATTGATACTTAAGTAATCTGCAAATCTATGACTGAATTAAGAAATGGCAACAAGTTATTTGTCATGGTAATTAAAAGAACAAAACAAAAACTGGAAAGAACAGTACTAAACTAATTCCATCAAAAGAAAATACAGAAAAAAGGAAGGTAAAATATAAAAATATATGTATGAATAGCTGCGATAACTATTACTGATGTCTGATGGTGTATTGAGATGAACAGTTAGTGATTACAATTTTTCATGTTCTGATCAACTTTGCATGCTTGTGTCTGGTGGTCTGAGCAACTGATTTGAAGGTAACAATATGCAATGGAATTACAATGGTGAACTCCTACCATCTTGTCTAGTGAAACTCTGTATTATCTCTACTGTTCTATCAAAGAATTATTTTATTCCCTATAGTGATTTGAGCAATCTTTCATTCTTACATGTGGTAATCTGAGCAGTATAGTTGAGGATAGCGATATGTAATGTAATAACCACTGTTGATTCGTATTATTTTGTCTTGAGACTGCATCACTTTGAATGTTCTTGCTTTGATTTGTTTATGTTTGTGATACTGGTGTGCTGCTACTGTTCTATTTCTTTGTTTGTTTCTCACTTACTACTCTCTTTAAAATAAAAAAAAAAGAAAATACAGAAACTTGTTTTTTTTTCTTACACTGAAAATTACCTCTTTTTGCACTTCTTTTTTCTCCCAGAAAGTCAGAAAGTAAAGGCTAATAGGATAGCAACTCATTAATCCAGTCTGCTGAGAAGAACAGAGCTCAGCAAAAGTAAAACTTAGGAGCATGTTAGATCACTCTTCAGGGAAAATTTGATGAAAAATTTCTGGACTGTTGAAATAAATAGTCTGAATCTCTAAATTCAGAGCATATCTAAATCTCTTTTAAAACTTTAAAAAATCCTCAGCCAGGCAAAGTGATGCATGCCGGTAATCCCAGCATTTAGGAGGCTGAATAAGGAGGATCACCAAAAATTCAAAGCCAGCCTGGGCTACATAGCAAGTTCAAGGCCAGTCTGGGCTACATAGTGAGACCCTCTCTCAAAAAACAACAAATGTAAATTCTTTTTCAGGGCCTGGGGACATAGCTTGGCAGCACAGCACCTGCCTGGTAAATGTGAGGTCCTGAGTTTGACTCCTAATACAAAAAAAATTATCATTTTCATCATTAAATTATAACATCACTTAATAATGCCCACAATTTATGAGTTGTAGAGGCTCTCCCAAATTAAATGGGGCTGCTATTTTATAGCCATTGTTGACAGTTTGTTTCTTACTGCCAATAATATATCAAATATTCCTTCTTGGTTGTCACCAATTTTCATATCTACTCCCTTACTTATAATTTGCTATTATTTAAAATAAACCAAAAGCCTTATAAAGTTTGTGAAATCAGTCTCTCAAAATGTAGTATAATATGTATTGTCAGGTAAAAAAGCAGCATTTGATCCTTCATTCTCAGTATTCTTGGAGTATACGTTATAAATATAGGCTGAAGGTAATTTTATACAATATTTTTAGTGCAGCTGTATTTTGAGTATGATTCCTTCCATGAAGTCAGGAGTATTCCACTTGTGACATTATGTCAGTGCTAAAACTATTTAAGATTTTAGAATATTTTGGAGCATCCTCCTTTGGGTTAGGATGTTGAATCTCTAAGTTTTTTTTTTTTAATGGAATCAATCACCAGATCTTGAAAAGCTTTTGGTCTTTTTGAGACAGGGTCTTGCTCTGCAGTTCAGGCTGGCCTTGAACTCACTTTGTGGCCCAGGCTGGCTTCAAACTTGCAGTCATTCTCCTGCCTCAGCCTCCTAAGTGCTGGGATTACAGGTGTGTGCCATCATGCCTGGCAACAAATATTTTTTTTCTATTTTAAAGAGAATAAAAATAAATAAACAATAAAAATGATACAAAATTTCAAAACAAGATGATAGGAAATTAATAATGGTTGTTACATTGCATACTGCTATCTTCAAAGCAGTTGTTCAGATTACCACATATAAGCATGCAAAATTGATCAAACAGTTAAGCATTGATTGTTCCTTTCAATAAACCAACAGAAATTAGTAGTACAATTATCTTAGCTATTGTGTATTTGTATATATGTGTATGTACATACACACACACATGTATTTCCTTTTTTCTTTTCTCCTTTCCCCCATCCCAGTTGTTCTCTCCTTTTGAGCAGCTTCCTTCTCTTTCACAGTATCTATTGTACCTTTCAGATTTTATTTACTTTTTCAGTTTCTTACACTAGGGAGACAATACAATGTTTACATATGTGGGTCTGATTTATTTCACTTATGAGTATGGTCTCTAGTTGCATCCATTTACCTGTAAAAGCCTCGAGTTTATCTTTCTTTATAGCTGAGTAATACTCCATTGTATAAAAATACCACATCTTTTTTATCTATTCCTCAGTTGATGGGCATTTGAGTTGTTTCCAAGATTTAGCTATGACAAATTGTGCTGCTATAAACATGGGTACACATATTAATGTAGTATGATGTTTTCAATTCTTCTGGGAAAATATCCAGAAGAGAAATAGCTGGGTCAAATGGGACCTCCAAGTATAGTTTTTTCAGGATGAACAAGTATTTTTTAATTGCTTGTTTACATGGGACTCATAAAATTCACATGTTAAGAAACTGATAAGGTTATGGTTACAATGAATTTCAATATTCATCTCTGTTAAATACACTTTAAAATAAAGTTTTGATATTATTCTCCCACGATAAAAGTTATAAAATTAAGCATTTCCTATTACCTTAAAATTACAGTATCATTTTGTCGATTCAAATATCCTTCATTTGCAAGTAAGTCCAAACGGAAAAACCTATTATAGCCCCAGCATTCTCCAACTTCAAAATCAGATGCAAATTCTCGAATGATATTTTTGGTAGGATCATTGCAGGACTGGTGAACCATCTCTACACGATATTCGTATCTAAAATTTAAAAATATTGATACAGAGTAAATAATCATTAGAACATTAAAGTCATCAAATATTCAAGAACTTGCTGATATACAGTGTACAGTTAAATGTCTTTTCAGAAAAAATAGTATCAATTACAAAAAAAACTTTTTTGGGGGGCAGGCCTGGGGACTGAACCCAGAGGTTTGTGCATACCAAGCAAGTGCTCTAACACCAAGCTATATCCGTAGTCCTTTTTATATTTTATCTTGTCTACACTGGCCTTGAACTTGTGATTATAGGGATGTGCCACCAGATATGACTAAAACCAACACTACTTTGAATGTGCCACTAAAATATGACTGGCACTAGGTCCTATTTTCCTCATAAAATTGTTTAACAACATGCACACCTATAATCTCAGCTGCCCAGGAAGCTGAGACAACAAGATCACAAGTTTCAAGCCAGCACGGATCACTGAGAACTTGACTCAAAATAAAAAAATAAAAAGAAACATAAGAGATAAGGATGTAGTTTAGAGGCAGGGCACTTTCCTAGACTATGCAATGCCCTGGGTTCAATATCCAATACCACCACAGAACAAAAAAATAGTTTACCAATATATCAGAAATAAAATAGCACCTCAAATAATATATTTTGCATAAACAAGTACTTCAAAGTTGTTCCTTACATATGAATTCCTATTAGATGTTAATCATGCAATTAAAAAATATGAATTTCAAAGTAATCGAGTTTCTGACACAAGTTAAAATAAAGCAATTACTGTGCATTCAGAACCTGGAGTTGTAAAATGTTATGGTCTCAAAATTTAAAAATAAGCTGGGAATGTAACTCAGTGCAAAAGCTCCTGGTTCAATTCCAAGTACAGCACTACAAAACCAAAAATCTAATAGAAAATAAGTATACTGGAAAAGCCAATATATTTTGATTTCCACATTCTATTATGTGAAACCTTCAAGTCTACAAAATGATAGGTAAAGAAAATAAAGTCTATAAACTTTTGTCTACCAAAGGGAATCTCAAAGTGAAAAGACATCCTACTAAATGGGACTATCTGCAAGTCATATATCTGATAAAAGTTCAGTACACAAAATATAAAACGAATTCTTACAATTCAACAATAAAAGGATAAACAACCCAATTTATAACAGAACAATGAATTTAAGTGAACATTTCCCCAAATAAGATACAGAAATGACTAAATACATGAAAAGAACACCGGGTATGGTGGTGCATGCCTGTAAGGCTGAAACAGGAGGATAGATGTGAGTTCCAAGTCAACCTGGCTACATAGTAAGTTAGTTCAAAGCCAGCCTGAACTACATAGCAAGACCCTGTCTCAAAAAAAAGTATGTGTTCAACTTCATTGGTCATTAAGGAAAAGCAAACGAAAATTATAACAAAATGCCACTTGATATCCACTAGGACAACTGTAATTAAAAATGGAAAATAACAAATGATAGAGAAATACAAACGCTTATATACTGCTGGTGGAAATATAAAATGATGCAACCACTGTGGAAAAGTTTGGCAGATCCTCAAAAACTTAAACACAAAATTATCAAACAAACCAGCAAATTTACAAGGCCTATATTTAAAAGGAATTAAAACATTTTTCCATAAATGGAAATATCTGTAGTAATTTTATTCATAATAGCCAAAAGGTGGAAATAACCCACATGTCCCAACAAGACATACATGGATAAACAAATGAGGTGGTACAGTATATATAAAAAATAAGTTCTGATACATGATTCAACATGAGTGAACACTGAAAACACTATATGATATTAATAAAGCAAACATAAAAAGTCTCATATGACCTGTTATATGAAATATCTATAGAAGCTGAACAGGCAGAAAGCAAGTTAATCTACAGTGACAGTCTGGTTTACTGTAAGCCCAGGCTCTCGCTCCATCAGGATTCTTTGAACTGACACAAAGTGGCCATAACATTCTGCCCAGGTAAACTATATGTAAACTAAGCATGCCTTAGATGTGCAAAACACATACTACTTCCCAAAGGCCTGTGGCCCTTAGCATTCATGCACATAGTTTACCTTTAACTGTCAGGCTTTATTGGCCTTCTGTGAAGACCAAAGTAGTGACACACTACTTAGATTTACATCCCTATTTCTTTTATTTTACTTTCAGCTTTTTAAAAGGAAAAGATATTAAATTGTAACATTCAAATTTAAGGTTTTATTTTTAAGTTTTAGTTTACTATTGGGATTGAGAGACTGTGTAAAGCATTTAATGTGGATTAATTGATACATTTGTTAGAAGTGCTAGGTCTCTTAGTACTTTAAGGAACTAATGAAAAGCCAGGTCAAATTGGCCCCTTTAATGTATAGCTATCAGCATAACAGGTGCTCCCATGAGATAAAGAGTGCATGCTGATCTAAAGAAAGCATTCCTGACATTTGTTTTCATTACCCCATATCCTTTTCACATCCTCAAACCCTTATAAAAATTTCAGACTGGGCTGGGGGTGGTGGTGCATGCCTGTAATCCCAGCACTCGGGAGGCTGAGGCAGGAGGATCGTTGTGAGTTCGAGAGCAGTGTGGGATACAAAGTGAGCTCAAGGCCAGCCTGAACTCATAGGAAGACCCTGTCTCAAAAACCCCAAAAAAAAAAAAAAAAAAAATTTCAGCCTGCTCCTCTCTTGGACTTGCCAGCTGCTCTCTCATAGTGTGTCAATATTTTTCTATATTCCTTGATTATTGGCAAATTCTTTTACCATCAGTGGCACCGGCCTTTCACATACTGCGCCTCCCACAGCAATATCCAGGCTAGTGAAGTCCAGAGGAAGAAAGCAGAATATTAGTTGCCTGGGGATTTGGGTAAGAAGGGAATGGAGAACGTTTACTTAACAAGTACTGAATATTATAGATTGATAAAAAAATTCTGAAATTAAAGTAGGTGCAATTGTATAACACTATGAATGTACTAAGTTCCCTTAACTGTACATGTCAAAACAGTTAACTGTATGCTATGTCCACTTCATTTCAAAACAGTTAATTTTTTATTTAAATTTTTAAAATGAGTGTAATGAAAACTCAAACTCACAGGAAAACAAGAATACTGAAAATCTAGAGAAAAAGACACTACTGCAAATAGTCAAATATGTCCAAGATCAAGATCAACTACAGTAAAGTGATCAGGTTTTTTTTTTTTTCTTACAGGATTAAACCCAGGGCTTTCCAATTGAGCTGCATATCCTTTGAGACAGGGCTTCTTAAGTCACTAAACTGCACAAGTAGGGCTCAAGTTTTCAACCCTTCAGCCCCAGACTCCCAGAGTACTAGGATTATAGGCATGAGCTACCTCACCTGGCTTTTCATTAGTTCTTTAAAGTACTAAGAGACCTAACACTTCTAACAAATATATCGATTAATCCACATTAAATGCTTTACACAGTCTCTCAATCCCAATAGTAAACTAAAACTTAAAAATAAAACCTTAAATTTGAATGTTACAATTTAATATCCTTTCCTTTTAAAAAGCTGAAAGTAAAATTAAAAAAAATAGGGATGTAAATCTAAGGAAAGTCCTATTACTTCCTTAAACACTCAGAAAATTTCTTTTCAAGACAAAACTCACTTCACAAACACCGTCAAAAGTTCATGCTCATGTGCAAATTTCCTCTGAAATACTCTATGTATGTATACTAACAAACACCTTTAAAAACATATTTAAGTTAATGAAATTATACAAGCATGTATGCAGTATCAACTATTAAAACTGACTAGACTATTATACAACGATTTAAGTTTTTCTTCCGTAGTTTAGCAATTAACCCTACTGCTAAACCCGAAATTCTGTAACATTTCAGTATTTAGTGAAAAAGTATTTAGAACCCACCTCTAGGTTTAATCAAATGTTACATGAATTAACAAATGAATAGTCTCCTGAGGGTATTTAGATAATATTCAACAACTGCATGAATCCCAATGCTTTTCAAACTTTTTGCGGGGTGAAGTGGTGGTACTGGAGACTGAACCAAAGGCTTTCCATAATGGGTTATAACCCTCCTACTTTTTTAAAATTTTGAGACAGGGTCTCGCTAAATTGCCCAGGCTGGGCTTAAATTTAAGATATTGCTATCTCAGCCTCCTGAGTAACTGAGGTCCTAAAAGAAAACAGTTCTAAGAACTACCCAGTCTATGCTATCATACTATGTCAAACATATGTAATACAGTAACTAACAAAAGTAACTGACAAAAGTTGCTAGGGAAATATATATAAATGCACAGTAGGAATGTTATTTAATTACACCTCTTACTTGGAAGTTTCAGGTAAGCCAGCTGAGAGTTCCAGAAACACAGATAAATAGTAACCACGCACAACTCCATTACCATCCTAAAAAAACAATAAGAGGTTACACAAATTCCAAATCAATCTAAATTTAAAAAAAAAAAATAATAAGCCACACACACAAAATAAAGGCAACAAACAAAATGAAGACTAACACCTAATAACTTTTTGGGAAGTACTTCTAACCTTAAAAAAATGAAATAAATAAAAAAGACTAACAGTTTAACAATTTCAAACTTTTATGCATTCAGGCAAAGTAGAAAGATCAAGGCATACAAATTAAGAAAACTATTAACTATGAGAAAAGTAAAGAGCTTTAAGATGTACAGAACTCTTTACACACCAGTCATAAAAAAAATGAAAAAATACAAGTAACTACTTAATTTCAGTAGAAATGACTGTACCAAAAAAGGGGAGGGGACCAGGGATATAGCTCAGTGGTGCAGTGCCTGCCTGGCAAGCACAAGGTCCTGAGTTTGATTCCAGGTACTCAAAAAAAAGAAGGGGAGGGGAAGTTTCCTATAGACTGAACTCGAAAGTCTTGCATATACTACGTAAGTGTTTTATCACTGATCTACATCTGCAGCCCCAAATAAGGTAATTTTTAAGGAGTTAATATCCAGAAAATACAAAGAACCAGGGATATGAACAGACTTTTATGCAAAATGATATACAAAGAGCCAATAAGCATAAAAAGATGCTCAATACCACTAATTATTAGGAAATGCAAATTAAAATCACAATAAATATAATTAAAAACTTATTAGAAGGCTTGCTATCAAAATGCAGAAAACAAGTGTTGCAAAGAATGCAGAGCCAGAAATCCTCATATACTGATGGAGGTAAGGTAAAATTATAGTACAGCTGCTATAAAAAACTGTATGCATTTTTTAAGAAAAAACTTCAAAGCAAAATTAACACATAATGCAGTAATTCTATTTGTGGGTATTATTCAAAAAGAACTAAAAGATACTGAAGAGATGTGTGCACATTCATGTTAACAGTACCCCATAGGTAAATGCAAACCAAATGTCTGTTTACAGATGAATGAACAAAATGTGTGATATACATACAATAGATATTATTCAGACTTACAAAGGGAAGGAAATTCTGTAAATATGCTATAACAAAAACCAGATGAACCTTGAGGATGAACTGTTATAGTTTGCGCATGCATGTTCCCCCAAAGCCTGATGCAGTCATGGGGCGGGCTTTTAGAGTTTATGACTGATCCGTGATCCAATGCTGGGATTATGGGTGTGAGTGCTACACCCCTCCTGGGGCAGATAGTTTGCGTAAGTAAGAGAGAGAAAGAGGCTGCCCACCTGCTCTCCTCCCTTTTTGCTCTTGTTGCTTTTGCTGTCTTCCACCACCATGAACAGTTGCCCTGTGCCATGTACCACTCTGCCTTGGAGCCAGCTGAGTATGGACTGAAACCTCCACAAACTGTGAGCTAAATAAAATTTTCCTTCCTTAATTTTGGGCATCACATATTTTGTCCCAGCAGTGAGAGAAAAGTAACCGAGACAAACTCTAAGCTAAGTGAATCAAGTCATACAAAGGCAAACACTATGATTCTACTTACACGAAGTACCTGAAGTAATCAAATTCACAGAACAGAATGCACACTATGGGATGCCAGGGGCTTGAGGGAGGAGAAAGTAGAGAGCTACTTAACAGTCAGAGTTTCTATTTTACAAGATGAAGAAGTTTTTACCTTGTTTTTACATAACAAGGTAAATATATTACTGATAATGAATTTTACATTATATATTATCAAAATAAAAGATGAACAAAAATGTTATCCTTACAAACAATGAAAGCCCTCCAGAAAAACAAAAAGAAGAAATCAAAATTGTAGCTAATTCCAAAACAAGCTAAATGCTACTAGGAAAATAGTAACATGAAAGAACAGCACAAAGCAAAATTACAAAACTCAGAAATTAGATAAAAGAACTAAGGAAAGAATATGAAATTAAAAATAAAAAAATTATACTGAACCAGAAGGAACACAGAGCAAATAATGACAATGGATTAATTATATGATGAGACAAAAAAGTGAATAAAGGAAAATTTTTAAAATGAAAGCACTCATAAGGCTGAAATAAGAGGACTGCTTGAATTCAGGAGTTCAAGACAACCCTGGGTAACACAGGGAAACCCTATCTCAAAAAAAATTTTTTTAATTAAAAAAATGAAAATGAAAAGAGCAATAAAGCAAACAGGTGATAAATAGCTAATACAGGCTAAGAAAATTCAAAATAAAGACTATAAATGGGGCGTGGTGGTACATTCCTGTAATTCCAACAGCCTGGGAGGCTGAGGCAGGAGAACTGAAAATTCAAGTCTAGTCTGGCTTGGGCACTGTAGCAACTTAGTGAGACCCTACCTCAAAATAAAAAGAGGGCTGGGGATGAAGCTTAATTTGAAGGCCCTGGGTAAATTCCCAATATCAAAAGCAAAAAAAATAGTAAAACAAAACATCTCACAGATTGTACAAGTACTAAGAAAAAAAACCAAAAAAAGTCAATGTAACAAACATTAAAAGCTAAAATGAGCATTAATAGCTGCTAATATCACAAAAGAGGTGTAACCACACCTTGCCTGATAAAAGAATGTACTACTGCTTATATTAAAGCCATAGAAAAGACCTGAGTCTCATCATGCCTCCAGATTCAGCTGCCAATTCAAGAAATAATACACAGATCAAAGTAGCACACTAAAATGCACATGAGTACACAGCCAGCACATATGTGATTTTGTCTGGGTTTCTGTACCTGTATTTTTCTTTTGTTTTGTTTTGGTACCAGGAATCGAACTCAGGACCTTGAGCTTTGTACCTATATTTTTTAAAATGACTTTTAAAAGAAGAATTTTAAATATTTTTTCTAATGGTAAGTGTACGTCCACACCAGAAATAAAATTTAATAATATATCTGAGTTTATATTGTCTATATACAACCCACTATTTCTATATTTAGTATAACAGCCCATGAAGGAATAAAATCATCATTACCTTAATGTCCTTATTGCACTAAAAAGTTGAACAAGTACATTGTAGAAACCTGAAAGAAAGACCTTAGTTTCCAAGTTTATTACAAATATGAAAAACTTACTGGGTAAACTTTTAATCTCCAGCAAAGTCCTGAAACTTGAAGAGGTGGACTATAAACAGGATCTGCTCTTTGGCGCAAAGTGCTAAAGAAAAAGAAAGCCAATCAAAATTCCCAGACCAAAACTGTTGTGAAATGGCAACAGGACATATTACATTTGAAATCCTGAACAACTAACAGAAAGTGACTAAGGCAATCAAGATTTTACTGTACATGATTATACATACTTATAAACTGGAAATAAAATTTAATAATTATTCAGCAACACAGTTTGTTTTAGTAAAAAAAGAAAGCAAAGTACAACCAAAAACACCCTTAAAAATGTGACATTTAGGAGGAAAGTATCACTAATTATCCTGAAATTAATTCTGCTTTAATAAGTAGTATTTAGTCAAGTGTGGTGGTACATGCCTGTAATCTCAGCACTCAGGAGGCTGAGGCAGGAGGATTACCTGGTCTACACAGTGAGTTCAAGGATGGCCTGAACTGCATGAGACCCTGTCTTAAAAAAAAAAAAAAAAAAAAGGGGGCTGGGGATTTAGCTCAGCGGCAAAAGCGCCTGCCTGGCAAGCGCAAGGTCGTGAGTTCAGTTCCCGGTACCGGAGAAAAACCAAAAA